CATCCTCCGACAACACCAATTCTATGTTAAGATGAACAAATGTGCATTCGACAAGCTAGAGTTAGAGTATTTGGGCCACATAATCACACATCAAGGAGTCAAAGTTGATGAACAGAAAATTGAAGCAATGGTTGCATGGCCAAGACCCTCCAACATCATTGAGCTCCATGGTTTCTTAGGCTTAACTGGCTACTACTGCATATTTGTTCAAGGTTACAGATTAACAGCTTGACCATTGACTAACCTCCTTAAGAATGGAAGTTTCAATGGAATAAAGAAGCGGAAGCGGCTTTCTTAGCATTGAAACAAGCCATGACATCGACCCCCACACTAGCCATGCCAAACTTTGCCGAACCTTTCATCATTGAAAAGAATGCATCGAGAGAATGAATTGGAGCGGTTCTAACTCAACAACATAGACTGATTGCATACATGAGTCGAGCCTTGGGAATTAATAAGCGAGCTTGGTCAATTTATTCCATGGAAATGCTAGCTATCGTGGAAGCAATACGATTATGGAGACCATATTTACTTGGCCACAAGTTTTACATCAAAACTGATCACCAAAGCCTCAAATTCTTTTTAGATCAGCATGTTGCAACTCCAGAGCAGCAAAAATGGGTGGCCAAATTATTGGGGTATGATTATGAAATCATCTTTCGATCTGGTCGTGAAAACTCTGCATTGGATGCTTTATCTAGGCAACAAGAGCATCCATTGTTGGCTGCTCTTCACTTCTCAGAAGTAGATATTTGGGAGCAGATCAGAGAAGCTTCTAAGTCGGATCCCTACATACAGCTTATGGGACACAAGGCTAATGCTAATCCATATCGGCCCTTAACTTGGTGTGATGGTTTGTTGCTTTACAAAGGAAAAATCATGGTGCCTACTGATCCCTCTTTAAGGGCCAAGTTGTTATATGAAGTTCATGATTCTAAGGTTGGAGTGCACTCGGGCATTCTTCGAACTTACAAAAGATTGCAGCAACAATTCTATTGGCCAAAGATGCATAAAACAGTTCATGAGTATGTCCAAAAATATGACATATGTCAACGCATCAAACCGAAAACCATGGCCCCAGCAGGATTATTACAGCCCCTACCAATTCCAGCACAGGTGTGGGATGACATCACCTTAGACTTCATTGAAGGGCTACCAGCTTCTCACGACAAAGACACAATTTTGGTGGTTGTCGATCGGATAAGTAAGTTTGCTCACTTTATTCCCTTAATTCACCCATTTACAGCCAAAGTTGTTGCAGAAAAGTTTATTGAGGGCGTCGTCAAACTCCATGGAATGCCACGATCCATCATCAGTGATCGCGACTCAATCTTTATAAGCAAATTCTGGCAAGAATTCTTCAAACTCTCTGGATCAAAACTCATGCTTAGTTCAGCTTACCATCCGCAAACAGACGACCAAACTGAAGTCATTAAAAGTTGTGTCGAGCAATACTTGCGCTGCTTCATTCACCAATGGCCACGAAAATGGAGTACTTATCTCGCTTGGGCAGAGTATTGGTACAATACCACCTACCATGCCTCTACGCAGATGACACTTTACTAAGCTCTTTATGGCTGTCTCCCTCCATTCATTCTGGCCTATCCGGCAGGTCTTTCACCAGTCCATGAAGTTGATAAAACCCTTTTGCACCGTGACGAGTTACTCCACCAACTCAAGTTCAATTTAGAGATCTCCATGAACCGAATGAAGCAACAAGTCGACTCCAATCATAGAGATATCCAATTCACAGTTGGTGATCAAGTCCTACTAAAGCTCCATCCATATCGCCAACAAACGGTCTTCAAACAGGCTCGTCAAAAATTGTCCAGTCGTTATTATGGACCATATCCTATTTTGGAGAAAATTGGAACTATAGCATATAGATTGCAACTACCACCCACAACTCGAATTCACCCCGTGTTCCATGTCTCTTTGCTCAAACCATACAATGGCACTCAAGCTGACCCACCACTTGACTTACCTCCACTTACGGATGATGGAGTACCAGCCCTCGAGCCTCAACAAATACTTGATACACGATGGGCTAAACGTGAAGACACCTTCATTGAAGAAAGCTTGGTGCACTGGAAGCATCTACCCCACGAAAAAGCCACCTGGGAGCCCTCGGATACACTTTGCAATCAGTATCTTAATCTGATGCTTGAGGCCAAGCATCCTCTTGTTGGGGTGGGCATTGATAAGCCCAGGAGACCCTCTCGGGTCCCGAGGCCCAACTCACGTTATATGGACTGATGCCCTAAAGCCCAATTGCTAGCCTTCTTCTCAGCCTTAGTTATCTTATTTCAATGTTATTTCCTTTCAATGTATTTGCTGGTTTATTTTAGTTTCATTGCAGTTCATTGCACGTTTGCAATTCAGGTGTAGTGGGCAACTAAGTTTCCTAAAGAGTCGGATGCCATTAGCTTAATTTCAGTTATTTCCTTTGTTGTATAAACTAAGAGGGAAGGCAATGAGAGGGGAGATCAGAAGTTATTATATTTGTGGTTAATTATCACCCAAAGGGAATACATTCTGTGTGTTTGTCGTGCTTGTACTTGTTGGGACCTATCATTGGTATCAGAGCCAAGTTCATGACGACAAACAAGGAACGGATCGAGCTTCTAGAGGAGGGGCTCGGAGGAGTTTAAGATGGGATGCAACGGATGGAGGTGGGAATCAAGGACAAAATCCAATGACTAGAGGATACCATTGCAAGACTATCTGAAGCATTTCTTTAAAGCAGAGGATCACCTAGCCACACTAACTATCAATAGGGGTGTTCAAAAAAATATAAAAATCGAACCAAACTCAACCGATAACTAAACAGACTTTTGAAAATTACAATAATAAATGAACAACTTTTGACCTGTAACTCGGAAGAGTATTGAAGTGATGCCATCTTTGCTTATGTAGCTACCAATAACAAGTGGCTGAGAAGACAACGAGAGTAGAAAGGTAATACAAATATAATTTTCTTTATTCAAAGATGTACGAGCCCCAAAAGAGAAAACATACAGGTACAGCAGTTAGTGACAGTTCCAACTAAAATAATATATAATGCATGCTCTAATTTATTTGCCCAATAAATGAATTTCAAATGTTTGAAGTTGAAGAGAAGACTGAAGAGCATTCAAAGACTTCATGCATGTTTAACTGCTGACACTGGGAGGTACAGAACGATTAGTGGTAGCGGGGAATTTAATTAGATTAAATGACAACTTCAACGCAAGGAAACTGATCTGAAAACTACATGGCTTAATGAAACTATATTTGTTACAGATCATTATTAGTTCCCCACGCACACTTAATTTCCTTTCCCTCAAATGTGAATACTATTGACAAGATAGAATTCATGCTAGATGCCACCATGTTACATTAATTACCTGACTGGCTGAACATATCTGCAGCCACAAATACTGCAAATCTGGGTAATGATTCTTGATTAAAAAGTCAATGAGGGACCTCAGAAGTTTATTAAAAAGTTACTACACACGTTGATTGGACTTTGAGTACTTCAATATAGGTAAACTCCCAACATAATATAAGTTGGCCCCATTAATTGTTCTACATAACTCATGTGGACCTCATTGCGCTAGCCATAACTAAGCGAAATTTGCTCTGTTTTCTGTAAAAAAAACTTTACTTGGGTGGTAAGTCAAATCAATAGCCCAGGGAACATTATAACTTGTGATGAGTAGTGATCATAACAGTAGAATTAAACTTACCCCTAGAAAATCATTAGAGTGAGAACATGAAAGATTAAGAGGTGTCCAACATGTTTTATCCATGCAGTCCTTAAAACCACTACCATCATCCATTAGTGGTGACGCAGAAACCATGCTGCAGGTACATGCGAAGAAATGCTAAAAAGGACTGTATTTGCAAGAGAATTGGGAGTTCCTATCGTAATGCATGCATGACTACTTAACAAGGGGATTCACCGCAAATACTAGCTTAGCTCATTCAGCATGCCAACTATTAGACAACTTATTAGAAACCCAAGACAGCTAATCAGAAACGTCACGAAATCCCCCGCTTTTGGGGGATGCCCTCAGCGCCGAGGAACATGTACGAGGGTGTATGTGCGACTCGTTTAAATCATGGGTTGAGACAAGACAAAAGAAAGAAAACAAATTTTCTAATATCAATGATCAGTACCATTGAATCGGATAGAATGGAAGAACTCCATTCACGATCTAAAACTAAAAAGGATAGATATATCATATCTTTCTATTGTGTATGAAATTTATGGTTTCCATTGGTGCAAATTCAATCACTTCAATTTGCAATTTAAGATGAGAAAGAATTCCCCATTAGGAACAAATAGTTATCCATTAAGCGGGGGGAAATCCTATTTAAAAAACGAGCAGTTTTAGTCAGATTTGTAATACGAATACCTTTATGCTTTGCAGAGATATAAGACGCCATTCTAGGATTCCATTTCCTAGTACCATGACCAAAATGAATTCCTGCTTCTATCATTTCTTCCAAATTGATATTTCAATATCTTCTTGCCAGTTCTCCCCACACTTCCTTTTNTTTTAAATTCCTAACTTATATAAAACGTGGTCAGGTGATACCAGATTATACATAAAAAGAAGGTTATAAACTGTGAGATATGAGAAACAAGAATAACAAGCGAGTCAAGTGAAGTTAAAAAACTAATTATAAAAATATGATTATATAACAGTCTGATTGTTATCAAATTACATCACAGCAATCATATTTTACCATCCAATCTTCCTAACCAGAAATACAAAACAACCTGATAAAGAAAACAAAAAACCGTGGTCAATTTCTAACGAACCAATCACCATGTATATTCCCCTTTGCTTTCGCCATTTTAACTCAATCAAATTTTCATTCATCCCTCACCACCAATTCTCTCTTTCCCATCTCTTCCTCTTTTCACGCCACCCGGCTCCGTCCTGTCGTCCCGTCGGCGAGTCGTGGGTCCTTCTTCCAATCACCTGAAACATTATTATTCAGGTACAAACATGTCATCCAATATTCTTGCTCCGTTTCAGCTACTGGAACTCAATATCATTTCTGCACAAGACTTGAGCCCCGTCTCACGCTCCATGCGAGCCTACGCCGTCGCCTGGGTTCACCCCGACCGCAAACTGTCCACACGTGTGGACGCGCATGGGCGCAACAACCCTACATGGAACGACAAATTTGTTTTTCGGGTTGACGAGGCGTTTCTTCGAAACGATACGTCGGCTGTGATGATTGAAATCTTTGCTCTACATTGGTTCCGCGACATTCACGTAGGGACCGTCCGTGTTTTAGTTGGGAATCTAATCCGTCCGCCGCAAAGATCGCACCGTCACTCGAATCACATGCAGTTGGGAATGAGATTCGTGGCCTTGCAAGTTCGCCGTCCGTCGGGGAGACCTCAGGGTATCTTGAACATCGGCGTGGCTCTCCTAGATAGTTCCATGCGGAGCATGCCTTTGTACACGCAACTTAGCTCCGCCGTTGGTTACCGCCATTTGATGGGCGAGGAGGATCCGTTTCAGAATAATCCGAACGCCAGCACGACTAGTAATAATCAAAACTCGTTCTCGTTTCTCCTCGGGAAACCCGAATTACGTCGGACTAAAAGCGATTCAAGTTCCATGCTCGGGTCGGAGTTGCTTAAAAAATCCAGGGTTCGTATCGCAAAAGGCGGGTCTACCGTCAGCAGCATTGAACCGTTCAAGAAAAACATCCAGGGAAGTACTGTTAAGGGTGAATACGGGTCGGTTGCTAGCGGGTCGGATGTTATTCCAATTAAGGATAAATTTGGAAAAGGAAATCCATTAGGTAGCGGTTTGGAAGTTGAGGACCCGTTAAAGAGGGTTAAACTTAAACCTGTAAAACCAGCTGGTTCAGTGATAAGTGGGTCGGATTCTTCTGACCCGACCAAGAAGTTTACGGATTCACCAACAAAACCGAAGAAACATCCCGGGTCCCCGTATAAACCGCTTCCTCCTCGTATTGTTGGAAACGAATTCGGAGCCCCGAATAAATTTAAAACTTTCAAAGGCGCGGCAATGTTGACCGAATCCGAATTAGGCCCGTCGCCATCGGAAGTGGCGGCGGCCAAGGCCAAGGAGAAGCTGTTACAGAAAACGAACGACGAGGATAGTTCGGGACTTCCAGGATGGGAAATGGACAGCAGCGTTGAAGGACTTCAATCGAAGTTGGAGCGTTGGAGGGCGGAACTACCACCGTTATACGACTCGAGCTTTCCCTCCAGCACCACTGGTGTCGGCGGCGGAAAATCGACTGGAAGACACAGTCGGAGGCACGCTGATGGAGGCAACAGTCCCGGGTTGTTCTCTTGTTTTAGTAAAATATGTGGATGCGAATGCTCCATCGTTTGCGGGCCGGGTCCACCGAAGAAGACAAAGAAGAAAGGTAGTAGTGGGCGGTTGATTCGGAGCCCGTCTAATAACAATACGAGCTCCCTTTAGATGATTGAATAGAAAAACGATGGCGTGGGTTTGGACTGTAAGGAGCTAGCTCCCAGTTGGGTGATGAAATAACTAACTAAACGGTTTTAAGAGCATACCTGGGTGTGGGATAAGAACGTGCACGAAAGAGGTGTACGTTACAGAATTCTTTTTATTCATGTATTATTCTGTCTTTTTTTTTAATTTGTATGTCTTCACAAAAGTTATACCATTCTCAGACGTATACCAAACCGTAGTTGTATACGTACAATTATGTTAATCTTTCATTCTTTTATTCATTTGTTATTTTAATTGATAATGAAAAAAAATTTAATCTCTCTTTTTTGATGGAATAGTCACGTTATGCATAATATTTTCACTCTCAATTACTTACATATCTATATATCATAGAAAAGCAGGATGCTTGTGACGTATATGTGTGGGATGAACCAAATCCTTATTAAAATTGACTTTTTCATTAGAGGGAGCTCGTACATGTTGTGCAGTGCCTCCTTTAAATACTTGATATGAAAAGTTCTTAATGTTAGTAGAGTCCCTAATTCCCCAACAGATTGATCGGAAATAATACCTACAGCTTCCATCATGAAATTAATTTCATGTTTTCATGTTTATTGATAATTTGATACTATATCACCTAAAAATGGGAATTTTTCTATTAATTCTTTACTGATTATGGAAGCAAGAGACCATCTCCCTATGTGAACTGTTTGTGATAAATTTTATAAAATTTCCGGGGAAATCTCTTACGTTATCGTTGGAGAAACTATATATTAATTTCAGTATTGATGCTAGTCGAGTTTGCCTTGTATTTCAGACGAATCTTGAAAAACGGAGAACAATTTTTGTTTTTCTATTTCTATTAATAACTTATTTGGTTTAGATTATAATTTAGAAATACCTTAACAAAATGAAACATAATTCAGAATTTTAAATTTTTAATATTTAAAAATGAATTTGATATAATCCTTTATATTTTACAGTACCGTCTGGTATTATATGCAAAAACTGTTTCTTGAATAAATTTCTATGAAACTTATTTCCTCAATATTTTATATTANCACAAATTTGCAACGTTACTATTATGATAATGGGTTAGTATTATTTTGAATTATTAGATGGGTGCTAAAAGAATTAACTTATAGTTGTTGACAATATTACTAATAGTTTCTAATAGCAAGATATAATAATGTAAATAAAAGTAGAGAATATTTTTTGTGGGCTCTTTAAAAAAAAAAAAAGATTTCAGTAGTGCATTTTGGAGTTTACATTGTGAGATACAGGTATAACTTTTATTTAGTTAAGTGGCATGAAAGTCGAGTGAGTTTCTTAAAGGATACCAGAGCCAGAGGCTGATATGTCACCTCAATTTTCAGGACCACAAAGATGAAGGTAATGCCACGAGACATGTCAATTATTTGGTTTTGGTATTTGCTTTTTTGTCTTGTCATGTGAATACAGTTGTAATTGTAGCACTGCCACTGAGTCACTGACCAAGTCCAAGGGTTAAATAAAAAAAGATAAAAATAAAATTAGTTTAAAGAGGGGCGTTCCGAGAATCGAACTCGGGACCTCTCGCACCCAAAGCGAGAATCATACCACTAGACCAAACGCCCGACTTGCTGAAGAGTTCAAAAATATTAAAACATTTTAAACCGAGAATAATAACAAGGGAAAAAGATATAAAATTACTGAAGCAGTCAACTTTTAAAACTCTGCTGGTATCATTGTTGTGTTGGTGTTTATTTTACCGATAATCCTAAATGTCCAAACAAATATTTGATGTGTCAGAAAATGAATGGAAGAGTGAATATGATAAGTTTGACTTTTTGTACCTATTCTTCCATTCATTTTCTGCCACATCAGTTTGTATATAAATCTTTGTAAGAGTTATTTGTACATATAGTATTACTCTTATTTTACTCACTGCCTTGAGATGAGGTAGTTTAAACGACCCCATAGTGGAACAAGTTTGCGTGTAAGATATCCAACATCTGATATTTGTATAGGGGTATCCACAACTCCTTTGCGGGCTTCGTAACAAGAAATGATATATTCTGTTAACGACAATCCTTTGTATAAATTGTTTTGGATGGATAAATCAATAATTTGTTCTTGAGGATCAGACATTAATCCTCTCATACTTGCTAATTGGTGTACTTGAGTGCATTTCCTCTAGCTCCCGAAAAAGACATTATATGGACAGGATTAAACGGATCAGCCATCTGAAATTAGGATTCATTTCTTGTCGCAATTATCCACTTGTAGCATACCATATCTCACTGGATTGACATAGCTTTTCTACTGCATGTACGATCCCATAAAGATGGTGTTTTTCCAAATGATGTTTTTTTTTTTTTTTTTTTAATACTTTATTAGATGACTGAATGATAATCTAGTGAGGTACATAATATTTTCGTAAAACTCGGTTTTTTCAAACTTTCTGATCTCTTAAGGGTTAGATAATAAAACCCAATTATCTTCAACACAAACATTACATATTAACATTATTAAGTACATAAATATATTTATAATTTTCTATTATTTTCAAACTCAACAATTTAAACCAAACCCTTTCCCGTTCTAACATGAGTGAGTTTATATTTCAAGATGTTTTTTGTTCAACCTTAAGATTCAATTGATTGAACTAATTAATCTCCACAAAAAAAAAAAAAAANTACTTATAGTTTGTTTCGTAAATTCTTTCATTTTGATAGTTTTTTCGATTACATGGATTATATCTGTTTGCACAAATACCTCGACGAGTGCCGCTCGTTAATACATAGAGTCCAATCAGCATATCTTGAGTCGGTACAGAAATGGGATCTCCAATAGCTGGAGATAAGAGATTCATATGAGAAAACATAAGTAAACGAGCCTCTGCTTGAGCTTCTAAAGATAAAGGCACATGAACAGCCATTTGATCCCCATCAAAGTCTGCATTGAACCCCTTACAAACTAATGGATGTAAACAAATAGTGCGTCCTTCCACTAAAATGGGTTGGAATGACTGTATGCCTAATCTATGTAGAGTAGGTGCTCTATTCAGTAATACGGGATGCCCCTGCATAACTTCTTGAAGGATTTCCCAGACAATCGGCTTTTTTTCACGAATTTGACTCTTAGCAACTCCTATGTTCGAAGCCAGATGTTGTCTAATTAGACCACGAATTACAAATGTCTGGAAGAGCTCTATTGCTATTTCGCGAGGCAATCCACAGCGATGTAATGAAAGTGAGGGTCCAACGACAATCACCGAACGCCCCGAATAATCGACCCGTTTGCCAAGCAGAGTCTCGCGAAATCTTCCCTCTTTTCCTTCAATTACATCTGAAAATGACTTGTAAACCTTATTATGACCATCCCTCATGGGTTGTCCACGGATTCCATTATCAAGAAGTGTATCCACGGCTTCTTGTACCAATTTTTCCTGACACATTACTAATTCCCCTGGTGTAGATCTACTTGTTGTTAATAGATCAGTAAGAGTATTGTTCCGATAGATAACTCTTCTATAGAGTTCATTAATATCTGAACTCATCAGTTTACCCCCTTCTATCTGAATGATGGGTCTCAACTCGGGAGGCAGAACCGGTAAGAGACATAAAACCATCCATTCCGGTTCTATATTTGTTCGAATAAAATGCTTAGCTAATTCCATGCGTCTAACCAAAAAATCCCTTCTTCTTCCAATTTTTCGATCTTCCCATTCATTCCCCGTGGGACCTTCTTCTCCTAATTGTTTCCATTCTACCAACGAATTTTCTATAATAATTCGCAAATCTAAATCGGCTAATTGTTCTCGGATAGCACCCGCCCCAGTAGAAATTTCTCGATTTCTAAATATATCGAAACCTTGAGTAGTAAAAAAAAGTGGGATGCTGTATTTCCAGGATTGAATTTCATATTCAAATGAACCTCGTAATCGTAAGAAAGTAGGTTTTTTCGTTATGGGCCTAGCAAAAGAAAAATTGGGATAGGGTCCACTATATGATCTCCCCCCCTCAAAACCGGACATGAAAGTTTCCTCTCATCCGGCTCAAGTAGTTATATCAAATAAAGATAAAGAAAGGGGTCTCACTTTCCAATTGTATTTTATAAAATCAAGTGAAAACCCAAAAAGAATCTACGCCTTACTCAAGTTCTCAGTGCAAACCAACCACCATTTCATTGATTCAATTAATTCTTCTTTGATTTCTATTTAGATTCTTTAGTGAATTCAAAATTACGACAGAAAAAAATGTCAAATTCTTGAGTAGTCTACTTCCCTTCGAATGCCGGAATACTTTTTACCTTAAGTGAAAGGAATGCCTTAGAATTCATACGGGATTTATTTGTCTATGTATTGTTCCATTCGATCTTTTAGGTCCTGCGTTACCTCGATGGTTATGCCACAATATTCTTAAAGCTTATATGCGATGTATAGACTTCTCCAACCATGACATATTTGTTTACTTCAATATAAAAAACCAAATTTCTTTTCGTTTAGAAAGATAAGGGAATGCTTAATTCGACAAAAAAAAGGTCTTCTTTTCACGAGGTACGACTATCAATTTGAAGTTACTTTTTTTTTACTGAATCGACCATAGACCAATCGCCCTTGTTATTTGGGAGTATTGAATACACCCACAAGTCTGAGCTTCATGTTACTCTTTTCAAGAGACATGTCAGATCGAGGGCATCCCAAATTGATTGAAGGGGATGAGAGTTTATCATTCTTAAAAATAAAAATTTCGATCAAATCACACATCGCAGTATACTAGACCTTCTAATTCTTTAAGAGGTTTATCTAAAAGATTCGCAATATAACTAGGAAGACGTTTCAAATACCATACATGAGTTACAGGACATGTCAGTTTTATGTATCCCATTTGATATCTTCGTATCCGAGAATCAACAAATTCAACTCCACATTGTTCACAAAATTGCGAGTCTTCTTTTTCATCTCCGATCACTCGATAATTTCCACAAGCGCAAATTCCACTCTTTATAGGCCCAAAAATCCTTTCACAAAATAATCCATCTTTTTCCGGTTTATTGGTTTTGTAATGAAAAGTANTTTTCAAGTGGAACTTACAGAAGTATAATATTATGTAACTTTTTCTGCAACATTACTTCTACGAAGAGCAATCACTCAGAAAAGCATCAATAGCAATCACTTACAAATTCATAACATGAAATCTGACAATTTTGGTCGATGAAAAAAGATTTTGTTCCTCAAAGGCATTATTACAAGCTGTTCTTCAGGATTTTTTTTCCAGGGAGATGAACCAATGTTACAACACCAAACATTGTAGTTCTTGAACGAGTAATCAAAAAGATTCTAGAACATCTTCAGGTTTAGGTATTGTTTCCTGTTTCCTCCAATCATCGTAGTACGCACAAGAACTCCTGGTGGCTCACCTAAGACCTCTAGAGCCCAGAACGCCATTTCTCCTACTGCTCATCTCCAGAATAACCATTTCATGTGAAAATTCCTCCTAATATATTCAGCATTAAATTAAAACATAACCAAACTTAAGAAATGATTTACTAATTACCTTAACAATCTGCCTTCTGAATATCCTGTTGACAGTTGAAGAAATCAGCCGGATGAGTCAAATTTCCTGAACAAAACATCTGACAATGAAAAAAGAATAAGACTAATCGGAGGATATCAGATTGTACAAAGTATCTCTTATCATGAAAAATATGGACAATGGTTGGGGTATAAGAAATTGACAGACCTGTAATCAGAGTACTAATGATGGATCGAGGTAACTCTCAAATCAAATGGGGCTTACTCTTGTTCCTTTTCATCGTAGATAAATATGCTATCTATGTCAACACAAGGGACGTGAGCTATCTTGGACCATTCTTGTCCTTTATTTCTTTTGCATTGTTTTTTGAGCAAAGGACAATTGATAATTTTCAATCCCAAAAGCGACAATGGCAGGCCTGTCTTCGGAAATGATGCGAGCTTTGGGCAATTACTGATCCACAAAAATTCAAGAGAGGTGAGGCTTTGAAGACCATTGGAAGATAGATATTTCAACTTTGGGAAATTATCAATGCCTAGCCAAGTGAGAGATGTGGGCAACATCATTCCCATCTCCTCTTCAGGGAAAACATTGCATAACATCCAGCAATGTGGAGGTGTTTAAGAGAGGTGAGCTTATGCAATCCCCACTCAATCAGTGCCTTATAGATTTTGAGATCTTTAATAGAAAGTGTAGTTAGGTTGGTGGGAAAGCCTTCTTCAGGAAAGAATTGAATGCTTGGACATTGCTTTATTTTTAGTACTTGAAGAGAATTGAGGCTGTACAAATGGTTTGGCAAGGCTTCAAGTTTCTCACAACTATCAATTGCAACAATCAATTTGGTGTTGGGAAGCCCTCCTTCAGGAAAGGAAACAAGACTTGGACAATTCTGTATTTCAATCCGCTGAAGGCGACTAAGATTATGTAGACCATCTGGTATGGATTTAAGACTTTTGACAGTTTGATAAGTAAATATTTCTAAGACAAGATTTGCTAGAAAACTTCTCTGCAATTGACTCTAGCTTCGAACAATTACCGATTTTGAGGGACTCCAGCTTTTCAGGTAACCAGCTTCTTGATGATAAGGTTGCAATCTCTGAACAACCCCGAACCTGGAGGTATTTTAGTGCCAAAGGTAGCTGTCCACTTAATGATATGCACATTAAAGATGGGCAGTTGGAGATAGACAAGAACATTAGAAGGGATGTTTTGCAAACGTTTTCCTTGTGTGTCATTGCCGAAGAAGGCGGCAAAGAAGAATTGCAAACATATTCCTCATCATGAAACAAACATTGCAATTTCCCGCAATTGCTAATATCAACCTCTATTAGAGATGAAGGTAGTTGATCTCCTCCTATGAATGTTAGAGAATGACAGCCTTTAATCTGCAGTCTTTCCAAATGTGCATTTTTGTGTTTTATTCCCTCACGTAAGGATTTTAGAGCACTGCAATTTAAGATCACAAGTTCAGTTAAGAGTGGAAAGAATATTGGCCTCTGGAAATGAAATAAGACTTGTGCAATTTTCAATACATAGCTCTCTAAGGGAGATGAGACTGTGGAGCCCCTGCAAAGGCTTCTCAAAACAAATCTCTTTCTGCCACAAATTTATGAGCTCTTCACAATCAACAATTCTTAGACATTCCACTTTCTGAAACCCATGTTGTGACCAATCTCCACATTCTGAAATATTTGAAAGAGTCATAGACTTGAGTGATTTAGACTTGGCCAGGCTACTACAAACCAACCCTTTGCATTCATCTATTTCCAATTTGTCAAGTATTGGAAAGCTTGACAATGAGACTTCCAATTCAGCACATTCACTAATAACAAGAGTCTTTAACGAAGGCAGATGGTCACGTAACTTTCCACAGAGTTTAGGACATTTTAACACATAAAGCTCACGCAAGCGACAATCGTTCAACATTCTCATTTCCTTGAACGGTGACCCAATATTCCCATTCTTGCATATTCTTGAACCGAAGAATTTCTAAAGATATAAAAGACTTTGAGCAACCATTCCCATAAAACTCAGAACCTATGCATTTTATTCCTGTCATCCCTTTGATTATGAGATCTTTAAGTAAGCCCAAACACCCAAGCGAAAGCAACAATGTGCAGTTTTTGCAATTTTCCAATTTAAGGACTGCCATGTTGGAGAATGATGGATCTCCCATCGAAGATGGAAATCTTGTGCCACCATAACATCCAACAGTGAGCTCTTTTAAGTTTTTATGAGGTTGGAGNCCGAAGAATTTCTAAAGATATAAAAGACTTTGAGCAACCATTCCCATAAAACTCAGAACCTATGCATTTTATTCCTGTCATCCCTTTGATTGTGAGATCTTTAAGTAAGCCCAAACACCCAAGCGAAAGCAACAATGTGCAGTTTTTGCAATTTTCCAATTTAAGGACTGCCATGTTGGAGAATGATGGATCTCCCATCCAAGATGGAAATCTTGTGCCACCATAACATCCAACAGTGAGCTCTTTTAAGTTTTTATGAGGTTGGAGCATGTCCAGTACATTTTTTTCAACTACCTCATCTTGTGGTTTATCAAATTCATGAGACCGCCAGAGCAAAGATAATGCTTCCAGATCCTTCTTATCGCTTAATACGGCCTCTCCTATCTCCAGCGAATTGGTCACATTCTCTAATCTTGAAATACAAAGTTCTCCACGGAGAAACTTTTAGTTCTTCAATTCTTTCAAACCAGATCCAGTACCTTTACCGACAATAAAATTCGACAAAGTTTGAAGATTTTCCAACTCTTTCATTCCCAGTGGCATCTCTATTAATAAACTTGCACCTGTTGTATCAAGATGGCGTAGATTAACCAAATTTCTCATGTAGGAAGGTAATCTTATGAGACGATAATAATCTCTCATTATCAAAATTTGCAAGTTCAAGAGTGATCATGTTGACTCTGATAAACTTTTGATCAAAGTGCCTGAAAGATTAAGATACCTTAAATGTCTCAAACCACCTATTGAATTAGGTAATTGAGTGATATAATATCCTCTTAAGGATAGCACTCTTAACTTTTTGAACTTTGGTAACAACTCAATAATAACAGTATTGGTTATGTGAAGAGGACGATCAGAAAGAATATAACCATTCATAAGCAACGGCAAGAATGTTCTTAGACACTCAAATTCATGAAAGACCTCAAATTTATTTTTACCATCATAAAAACCACAACGGTAAGAAGAATGACGAGCCCTTTTGAATCCCTTTGAATGATTTCTAGACTCCTCCAACCTAAAAATTGTTTCTCCGGAAACTAATTGAGCCATATCATGGATAAGGTCGTGCATTACAAATTTAGAACTATTATTACTTGATTGTTGGAAAATTGACCTTGATAATAAATCGTGAAAATATTGACTACCCAAATCTTCCATTTGCCTATTACTGCTTGCTACTTGTTGAATCACTCTTTCTGCCATCCATAAAAGAACAAGTTCCTTCTCCTCAAATTCGTAATCCTTGGGAAAAATCACATAATAAATAAAACATCTTTTTAGATACGAAGGAAGATGGTGGTAACTTAATCTTAATAAAGGGAGAATGCCACTTTCTTCTAGTAAATCCCATATGTTACTATTCAATATATCTTCCCACGTATCATATCTTTGCTTAGAGCGTAAAAGGCTACCAAGAGTCCTTGCGGCCAAGGGCAAACCTCGGCACTTTTCAACAACTTTCTTACGAATCAATTTTGGCATGTCATGGACATCAATCTCTCTTCTCTGAAATGCATGTTTTACAAACACAGACCAACAATCCTTATTTGATATTCCTTTTAATTCATAACATTTAACCGACCCTACTGTTAATGCAACATCTGTATTGCGGGTTCTGACAATTATCTTACTCCCTGGGGCACCAGACATGAATGGAGACATCAAAAGTTGCCACAAACCATAATTTTTATTCCAAACATCATCCAAAACTAGCAAAAACTTCTTTCCATCAAGGGCGTTTTTCAATTGAACCTGCACGTCATTCAAATCATTCAAACTACAGGGCAAGGACATGATTGACTCAAGAAGGGCTTTTGAAATTCTAAAAACATCAAAATCATCCGAAACACAAACCCAAGACCTTGGCTTGACAGCTTCAACTGCCTCGTCGTTGTACACAATCCAAGCAAGAGTTGTTTTCCCAACTCCTGCCATTCCAACAATTGGTATCACACAAAAGTTGGCATAACTTGGTTCATCTCCCAATAACATTCCAAGTATCCTAGCTTTATCTTCATCTCTCCCATAAACAACAGGCTCTGTTGGCACACTTGTAGAAAGTGGCCTTTGCTGTGCAGCCGCGCTTGATGGCCTTCCAGGAATTGGAAGCAATCCAAGTTCATTTCTTTGTTTACAGAGTTCTTCCAGCCGGTTAGTAAAAATTTTTATCCTGGAATCCAAACTCCTATTGAATCTCAAACCAGTAAAAAAACTTGGGATGAGGTTCCTTACCTTGCTGGTGCCGGGCTGATTCTTTGCCATCAATTCTCGCCGTAAAGCTTCGGTAGCGAACTCATCCACAATGTCATCAATATCATAAGCCAGGTCTTGGAGATTGTCAAGCCACAATTTCACAGCCCTATCTGTCAATTGCTTCTCCTTTGCATCTCTGAGGACAGCCTGTAATAGGAGTGTTCAAAAGAATCGGTTGGAACCAGAACCGGCGGGTACCCTGGGTTTGGTTCTAGTTCCTATCCAGAACCAGTTGTCAATGGTAGGTTCCGGTTCCAAATTTTTGGAACCGTTACTGTGCGGTTCCAGTTTCGGTTCCTATAGTTAGGAACCGGAACCAGAACCAGGAACCGAGACTAATATAAAATAAAATTAAAGATTAGAGGGTTAATAAAAACTTTTATAGAAAAAATAATGTAAATACATTTATATTTATATTTCATAACATTTAAAGTAAGTTAGTTTGACTTTTGAGAATCTACCTTTACAAAGTGAGTTTATAATTTTGAATTTATAATTTGTAATTTTATTTTTGTTAATAAGTGCCAGGTTGGGGGGGGGGGGTATTTGTAAGATTTTAAGGGTTTTTTTGCCATTTTAAAAACTTTTGGGGGGTCATGAATTTTACAGGGTATCCAGAACCGGAACCGGAACCGTTGTTACAAGTTCTGGTTCTGGGTATCTAGGAACTGGAACCATCGGTTCCGGTTCTGGTTCCAAATTTCAAAGAACCGTCAGTTTTGGTTCCGATTCCGGTTCTGGTTCCTTAAAAAAGTACAGGATACCCAGAACCGAATACCCCTAGCCTGTATCATCACCAATCTTTCTTCCCAAATCTTAAGCTTTGAACCAACCCCTTCTTGACTTGCAAAGTTGAGCAACTCACGGGACGCCAGTCTTTCAAACAACACCTTAATGAACGCAGAGAGAAAGAGTTCTCCGATGGCCATGGTTAAAGAAAGAAACCAAAGATTTTTATCTCAGCTAGAAAATATAACAGTGAGACCCGGAAAGTGGCTGATTCTGTTTTGAAGACGTTGAAAATTGATCATTGACCTGCCAATATCCAGTTCATTTATCATCCAACCTGTGCCGATTCCACCAACTACATTGACTTGTAGGTTGTAGCGCCTAAATTTCTGGTGAGCGTAGGGGGAAAGTGTTAATTTTACAACTTAATGGATTAAAGTTTTCGGGGGAAATTTTTTACTCAAAATCATTGAAAAATATTACAAATTACAAGTTTTTTTTTTTTTTTTTTAAATAATGAGTATTTGTTGTTCTTACTTTTTAGGAATGCACTATAATCTTGTGTATTTGGCGTCTAATAGTTTCTAAATGTCATTAAATCAACCTTCAAATTATCTACAATTTCATCAATTTAACTCTCAAAAATATATTTACAAATTTAAACAAAATAATTTAACGATCAGTTAAAATAGGATTACAATCAAATTTTCAAAACTAGTATGTGCTTACACAAAAATGAGTAAATACAAGTAAATTGGGATCGTATTTCGAAAACAATTATACTCTATAAAAAAGTCAAACACATAAGAGTTTTAAAAAAAAAAAAAAAAAACCCTAAGTAAAATAGCCTAAGAATTTTTCCAATTTTACCTTTTTTTTTTTTTTTTTTTTTTAAAGTTTAGGATGGGCAATAAGGGTATTTTTCGTGCCTTTTGATAAAATTATCTTCTGCTAAACGGTGTTTTTGATAATTTTATCTTACTGAAAAGGATAAAAGCGACTAGAGATTTTTATTTCATTTTATTTTTCCACGTATACCCAAATGGCCAAATCTAATTTGAAAATAAAATAATTATGAAATAATGGGAAAGTATTTCTAGTGGGTTTGTTTGGGTTGGGCCAAGAGTATGGGCTGTAGAACAAGCCCAGCCCGGCCCAATAACATCATCCCTTACAAGAGACTGCCGCCATGCGTTAAAGCCTTACTTCGATCAAAACTTTCTTTCACATTCTCACTGATTTTCCCGGAAATCTTTCATTCCTTTTTTGAATGAATCAATAATTTCATCAGCAATGACCACCAAATCTCAACCGTATTCATGGACTCGACTCCTTCTCAACGAAACCCTCAAAAACCCTACTAAAACCCCTCTTTTATTTTCCCGGAAAATCTCAACTTTCCCGCATTTTTCCACCAGCCAAACACCCCAAATCCCCATTCCACCGAATATCCATCTCCCAAATGCATCTAAACGAAACCCCACCAAGCCCATTTTCTCATTTTCCCGGAAAATCTCAACTTTCCGTCTCTTTCGCACGAACCAAACACCAAGATGCCATTTTTCCTCATATACCAGAGTCGCTCAGGATCTGCTCGCGCAGGTCGAGCGCGATAAGCAGAGGGAGAGAGAGGCGAGGAAGAGGCTAGGGTTGGATACGAAAGATATTGATGCAGAAGATGAGGAGGATTACACCGGTGTGGGGCCGATGATAGAGAAGCTCGAGAAGAAGTTGAGGACCATCCCCGAGGAATTTATCAGGAATGAAGAGCCCACGGATTTGGATCGTGATGAAGATGATGAGAGGTTCTCAAGAGAAGCAGTGCAGAAGAGATATCAGTTGTTTCAGAAGAAGTTTAAAAGGTTTGAAGAGTTGGTCCGTAGCTTCGTTGATGCTGGTATGTTGTATAAATTTAGGTAGTTTGTTTGATATACAGAAATGTAGTCGTGTACACTTTATTTTATACGTGTAGTTTGTTTAATATGTTCTTAATGGTTGTTTATGTGAGTGGTTTCTTATGTTAGTAATGGTAGTTTATGTTATTGGTTTCATATGGTGTTAATGGTAGTTTACTTGAGTGGTTTCTTATGGTCTTGATGTTATTTTGTGTGAATGATTTTTTGTGGTCTTAGTGTTAGTTTATGTGATCGGTTTTTAAGGTAGTTTGCTGGGGTGATTTCATACAGTCTTAGTGGTAGTTAATGTGAGTGGTTTCATATGGTGTCAATGGTTGTTGAGAAAGTCTGGGAAAAGACTGAAAATGCTATTTAGCCATCTGGCATTCAAAATGTCTAGTTTATATGATTGGTTTCATATGGTCCTAATGATGGTTTCGTGACTGGTTTCATTGGGTGTTAATGATAGTTTTGTGGTTGGTTTCATATGGTGTTAAGGATAGTTTTGTGATTGATTTCATAAGGTCTTAATGGTAATTTGTGTGATTGGTTTCTTATGATCATAATGGTAGCTTATGTTATTGGTTTCATATAGTCTTAATGATAGTTTATGTTATTGGTTTTGTATAGTCTTAATGAGAGTTTATGCTATTGGTTTCTGATGGTCTAGACGTTAGCTTATGCTCTTGGTTTCGTAGTTAATGGTCGTTTATGTGGGTGGCTTCATATGGTCCTAATTGTAGTTTATGTAAGTGTTTTTTTTTTCCTTTTTTATGGTCTTAATGGCAGTTAAGAAAGCATGAAAGGACTGAAAGATATTCCACATGTTTTGTTTTGCTACTTATCACTTCTTGTTGTTGATAATAATTTAGAATGTTTTGTATGATGCTAACTCTACAAATTATATTCTTTTTTTCCTTTGCCCCCATAAAGTTCAATTGGTTAACGAAATCAGGAAGATTGTATATATAAGTGAAATTTTTGTTGAATTGTTTGCTCAGAGAGTGAACAGGGTGTTCCTCTTCATTATTTTGATTTTCTCCATAAATGAATCCAATGTTCATTTTTTTTTTTTTNTGGTTGATAATAATTTAGAATGTTTTGTATGATGCTAACTCTACAAATTATATTCTTTTTTTCCTTTGCCCCCATAAAGTTCAATTGGTTAACGAAATCAGGAAGATTGTATATATAAGTGAAATTTTTGTTGAATTGTTTGCTCAGAGAGTGAACAGGGTGTTCCTCTTCATTATTTTGATTTTCTCCATAAATGAATCCAATGTTCATTTTTTTTTTTTTTCTGGAGATTTGTGTTTGAGAGTTGAGACAATGTTTGGAAAGATTGCCATGAGGGTAAGACCTAGTGGTCAGGCCTATTTTTGCTCTCACAAGGTATGGATTTTGATTTCTTAAAGTTACCTGCCTTGTTGAAGCCTAGCTGGGGACTTGAGTTTTCTAAGTGGGTTTGAGAGGTTTTTGGATAGTCAAAAAGAAAACTTTTGAAAAGAGGACTATTTTGGATGTTCATGTCTTTAAATTTTCGTCATTGACCTATTAATTTCCTTATTTCTTCAACTAAATATTGGTTTGTGCTTAATATCAATTTCACTCTTTACAATTTGTTCGAGAATTGAAATATCAATGTTACTTTATCCAGTTTTGTTCAGAACTGAAACCTTGGAATGTTTGATCAATGACTTGTTGATTGACTTGTGCCTCTTCTATTGGTCAGTAGTTTATCAATTATGTGAGCTCACATTTTTCTTTCACATATCTTGACAGAAACACTTGATGAAGCTTTCAAGTGGATGAACAAAGTTGACAAATTTGAACAAAAACATTTTGCTCTTCGCCCTGAATACAGGGTTATTGGTGAGTTGATGAATCGTCTGAAAGTAGCTGAAGGAAAGGATAAATTCATCCTTCAACAAAAGCTTAATAGAGCTATGACATTGGTGGAATGGAAGGAAGCTTACGATCCAAATAATCCTGACAATTATGGAGTCATTCATCATAGGCGGGTTAGTCCACATGTTGATTCCCTTGAGAGTTCTGAATTTGAACAAGAAAATCAGATGATACAAGGTGGGATTGATGATGATGAGGTAGAGGAGTTTGATGACATGAAAGAGAGAGATGATAGATTGTTAGAAAAACTCAATGCTATAGACAAGAAACTTGAAGAGAAGCTAGCTCAGTTGGACCATACATTTGGAAGGAAAGGAAAGCTTCTGGAAGAAGAGATTAGAGATCTTGCAGAGGAGAGAAATGAATTGACAGAGAAGAAAAGAAGACCTCTTTATAGAAAAGTAAGTTCTTTAATCTTCCTGCTTGATTGTTTTGTTCCCACAGTTAAATGGAATCATTGACAAATTGCTGCTTTTCATTTGTTTTCTTTCTCTTTCTTCTTTCCTTTCTCAGTGGTCTACATCTTTTTCTCCCGTTGGATTAGACTGATTCCTGGTCTCTTAAAGCTTTTTGCTTTGTCAAAAGCCATTCTCTATTGTATGCCACATGCCTACTTGCAGTGTCTCTGACCGTATTCATTGAGGATTTTGATAAAAATAAAATGAATATAGAAAATATTGTTGGTTTAGGTGTTTGCAGTGAAGCTTTCATCCCTACCTGGAATGTGAGGTTCATATTGTATGCATTATATATTATGAAGTAGTTTCCTTGTCCTTAAAGATAGGCAGATATTCCTGGGTTTTGGATAGTTTGCCGTTTGTCATGCATGATAAAACTATCCTTTATATAAAGTTTGTACTCAACATCAATACTTGATGCTTCTTTATATGAAGCCTATGTCTCCATGCTCTTAATTTTAACCTTTCAGTCTTGTGTATTTATATTAATGGACATATTTTATTTGATGATGACAGGGATTTGATGTTAAAATGATAAACGTTAATAGAACTTGTAAAGTTACTAAGGTATGTCTCCTCATTTTTTATCTTTGATTTTAGAATAATCTTTGTATAGTTGTTGAGTTTTTAATCTTTTGTGCTGTAGGGAGGGCAAGTGGTGAAATACACTGTTATGTTAGCTTGTGGGAACTATCATGGTGTTATTGGTTTTGCCAAAGCCAAAGGCCCAAGAATGAATCTTGCTGCTCAGAAGGTAACTTCTTGGTTGTTAATGATAATGGTTATCAACAGAATCCTGTCAGCTTATATACTTATTGGTCATGTATTTTGTATGCCCGGCGTTGCTTGATAATTATCCTTTTAGCCAAACAAGAGTATTTTAACTGTAAGGTAGAGAAAAATAGGAAAGTGGAATGCAAATCGTATTTTTGTTGATATAAGTCGTATTTAATTTATGTTTTGGACTATTTTGTATAAAATTAGTTCTTGCATTTTAGTATTCTTGTAGAATGTATTTAGGCTTTATGTACTTTTAGGCCTTCCTTGCTTGGCTATCCAGTTGGGGTTCTTCTTATGTTTCTAGGATTAGAACTGCAATGGAGTTTATAAATTTTGGTTGGTGAAGAGTCATTTGCTATCCTTTTCCCTTCTTGTGACTTGTCTATTTTTTTGATCCCTCTTTCTCTGGATCTCTTAGTTTTCTTCGTTTCGTATACCCAAAAATGGTAATCTGTCAATGGATTAGCAATTGATTGTTTGATTTTTAATTTTGATGCATCTCAAAACAAACTATCAAATGTTTGAACCAAGTACTATTTAACTGTGCCACTGTCGTAAGCATGCACTTGAATATTTTTCATTTCTTTTATGCTTGAGTGGCATCTATTATTTTTTTACTTTCATTTAACAATGAACAGGCACGTGAGAAAGTCTATCAAAATCTCTACTATGTTGAGCGACACGAAGAACATACAATTGCACATGCAGTTCAATCAGAATACAAGAAAACTAAGGTTCTTAATCAGTTTTTTGGTTTCTGTCTCTCCAATCCCCTTCTTTGGTTCAATCCTTCGCCTATTTTGATCTATTATTTTTTTCATCTTTTCTCTCATTTTATCTGCATCCACGTATTCTTGTAGTTGTATTTGTGGCCTGCACCAACTACATCAGGTATGAAAGCCGGAAGAAAAATTGTCCAAACAATTCTGGGCTTAGCTGGATTAAAAAATGTCAAATCTAAGGTAATAAGTCTGTCAAACTGAATATCTGTTACTATGGCGGTTCTTACAATCTGAGTGTCATTATAACCATTACTATCCTTTCAGGTTATTGGTTCAAGGAATCCTCATAACACTGTTAAGGCTCTATTCAAAGCTCTGAATGCAGTAAGTGGCCTCATAAACCTATATGATAGATGGAGAATATTTCTTTTCGCTATCAAAAATTCATATTAACACCCATTTTTTTTGTTTTTTTGTTTTCCAGATTGAAACTCCGAAGGATGTGCAAGAGAAGTTCGGTCGGACTGTTGTGGAGAAGTACCTGCTATGATTGTTGTGCTCTACATATTTCCGTGTAATTTTCCGATTATTTTTCTTGAATTCCAATATAATTTACAAATTAGATGAGGAAATGAAAAACTTTTGTCGCATCGATGATTTTTCTTCCCGTGAACGAGGTCATCGTATTTGCTAAGCTTGTTACTGTTGACAGTTTTACTCCATTAAAATCAATCACAAGGAAGCATTGTAGTTTAGCTTCTTAAGAATATATGTAGTTTTTTCTTCATTTAATAAGGTATTTGTTTATTTTATGATATTGAAATGTTGTTCCATGGGTTATGTTGTTTGGCAAAACCTCTCATCCCCCCAAATACCCAATTTACCAAACGGAGAAACAGCAGCCCAAATTTGCCACGAATTCATAACCCAAAGCGAAATAGAATCCAGCTTGAGTTGAAAATGGCATTGTTTGTCGAAATGGAATCTGAGTCGGTCTGCGAGCACCTCGATTAATTGAACACAAGATCTTTGACTAATCTATCTAAATGGTTAAAGTTTTGTCAACCGATCACAAGAGGAGTGTTAAGTTGGCCATTTTTGCCGAATGGTTGGATCGAATCTGCGGTTTGGAGAAGATGAAGCTTGATTTGTCATCATTGCCTGAGTGCGGAGTCAAAACTAACCAATTATATAACTTGATTTTAGGGGGTAAAATTCAAACTTACATACACATAAAGGGTATGATGTTGTTAGTTTTTGTGACCGGAAATAGTGTTTTGATATGAAAATGTGTATAATTTTTTTTATATGGTTAACTGAGAACACAAATAGTTGTAATGGCTGAAATTTTAAACGTGGGAAGAAAATGCAATCAGAATCTAGGTTGTGGCTTTTTTTTGTTCACTCCAGGAAAAACTGACCAAAAATGCTAGGTTACTTAAACCCTCTTTAATTTAAAATTTGATTATTTCGGAAATCGACCCTTGGGTCATTTAAATTAGCCTTTGTTCAATTCTGAACCCTATTTTTAATTTATCATTCTAAGTGATGATGTTTTACATTAAACCATAAAGTTTGAAATTGTTATAACCATCAACAATTGCACCATCACTACAAAACACTGATGAAAAAGAATATAAATTCATTAATAGAAAGAATATAACATTAACATATAGACTACAAACCATAGCCAAATTGAATCATCAAAAAACACATAATTTACCAACAATCAAACAAAACTAGAACCCCAGATCTTTTGCAAGATCACAACCTCGATCTCGATATCTCTTAACACGTGCTTTTATGATACAAGACGAGGTGACCGATCAGGCGTAATTAGAAGCATAAACTTGGAAAGGTCTAGGCCAATCCTTGGATTGCTCTTCCTGAATTCTGCTTCCATTGCTTCCAGCAACAAACTCCTTGTACCTCAACAGAAAAGCCAGTGTCAACACCACCCATTCCAAGCAAAAGATCAACACAGTCAAGGCACCAGCAAGTTTCAGAATAACAACCCCATCTTCCTCCCTCACGTAGGACTTCAAGTAGCCGAGAAAGCCTGCGGTGTTGGTGAAGATGAGCACAGAGATTGAGCCTTCAAAGATGGCGGTCACCACAGTGACCACCATGTGGGCTGCATACCACCGGTTGGAGGCGGTGGAGGCGACGTGGCAGGAGAAGACCGCCACGCAGATAGTGAGGACGTGGAGGAGGATGAGGAAGAAGCCGCAGAGAGACGGGAATAGGCGGAGGGATAGGGTGAGGAAGATGAAACTGGATGCGGCTGCGAGGAGTATGTAGCTTGAAACAAGTAAAGTTTTGTGCTTTTTAGAGGGGGTTTGGGGGAGAGAGGAAGATGGGTTGAAGGAGACACCCATTTGAGAGGCGAGAAAGACGAAGCGATTTGCAGAGGTTTTTGCAGTGAAGAAGAAGAAGAAGAAGATGGAGAAGCTTTTGAGATTTGAGAAAGTTTCGGTGACGAGAGTTGAAGGTTGAAGAAGGGATTTAAAGGGTTTGGGAAAGGAGTAACGGTCGAAAAAATTTAAAAGTTTGGTGGTGGAAAATTCGAACGTTGGAGAGGTGTGGAGCAGGGGAAGCTGTCAACGGTCAAAAAAAAAAAAAAAAAAAAATAAAAGAATAGAGAAAAGTGGGTAATTCTAAAGTACCCCTAAAATATTATTTTATTTGTTCGTATCCACAATCTTCAAAAAGTATTATATAAATTTCCTGATTGAGTGTTCTTAATATTTTTTTTCTATAATCCCAGAGGGTTTTTTTTCCAATAATTGATCTTTATAAAAAAAAAAAAAAAAAAATGATCACTATGGGTAGGGGAGTTGTAATAGTTTTAAAAAATTATAGTATGAACAGATATAAAATAAAATTAAGAATAAATAGAAAAAGGGTAATTATTTTCACCTCTAAAATATTTTTTTTTATAATCCTTCGAGGTTTTTTTTTTTTTTTTAATACAGTTTTATACAACAAAAAAAATTATTGATTTGTGATATTTTTCATAATTCACTAATTCATGGATGCCATTAAATGATCTTTCATATGCAGATCAATAATCCTAAGAAAATACAACCCACTTGTGGTCAAATAGATAGAGGTAGGGGCGGATCTAGCACTATCCCTCAATTTAAAAAAAATATTAATATATATAATTTCTTGATTTTAGCTCACCCTAACATAAATATTAATAGATAAAAATATTAATATATAATTAGTTTTTATTTTGACATATCCTGACAGAAATATAACATTATAGATCACCCAGAGTGGACATGAAAATATTAACTATTGTTCCAAGTGACGCTTGCAAGCTGCATCAAGCACGAGTTTACGACAAAGGGTCCATCATATAGCCCACAGAGAACCTACAACTTATAGGACGACTCCAGATGTGGTGAGTGATCATGTTCGATCATAGCATCCATCAGTCTCACAGCTTCCTCATACATTCTCAATCCACAACAACAATTGAGAAGAGAAACGTGTTTATTTTATTATTTTGAATAGTATTTTTGAAAAAATTGAGTTGGATTATTATTACGAAGATATTATTTAAATTTGAAAATGTGTTTGGTAAAATTTTTTTAATCCCCTATATTTATTAATTTAGTTAAACACCTTCTACAATAAAGTTTAAATTAACAAAAATACCCCCCATCCACCAATTAAATGTTAGCAACCGGCCACCAACTGTCGGGGATATGTGAGTAGATGGAGATGTTTTTGTTAATTTATAAACTTTTATTGTTTAAGTTATTTAGTTAAATTAACAAACCTAGGAGGTTAAAAAAATTTGGTGTGTTTGTTTTCATATTTTGTCCTATTCATATTATTTCCAAAATACATATTTGTTTCCCTATTCTGAAAATACTTTTATATTTTATTTAGTTTTTTAAACACCCTAAGTTTATTAATTTAACTAAATACCCCTAAAAAAAGTTTAGAAATTGATAAAAATACCCCCACCCACCCACATTTGCTAGATTCCAGCCACCACCCTGTAGTGGTGGCTGTGAATCTAGCATAACGGCGCACTACCGGCTGGATCTGGCTGGTAGTGTGCCAATATAGCCTTTTCTAGCCACATCCACCTAGGATCTGACCGAAAAAGGTTAGATAGCTAGTCGTCAACGACGGCCAATATCTGGCCATCAATAGCTAAATCTAGTCGTAGATCTAGCATTTTCCGAGCAAATCCACAGTGGATCCGACTGGAAAAATGCCATCTTAGCGTACGCATAACTAGATCCAGCTGGTCGTGTACAGATGCGGCGACTCCAGCTATCCTCCAACAGTGGTGGTCGGCTACTGGTATTTAATGGGTGGGTGAGGGTATTTTTGTAATTTTTAATATTTTTATTACAAGGGTGTTTGGTAAATTAACAAACTTAAGGGATGTTTTTATTAATTTTTAAATCCTAACTTGTTATTATCACCTAACTCTTACTTTTTTAAAAACGTTATCTAAAATACTAAAACAAATGCATCTTGAATAGAATAGGATGAGATTTTGAAAATAGTAAAATAAACATATATTTTGAATATAATATAATAGGAATAATAAAACAGAAACATCCATAAAAACCAAGGAATCCCCACCCGGTATCGGGACAGGCCTCTAGAATTCCTAGGCCCATTGCCATGCCCATATACATAAGCACATTTATAATTTAAACATTAGCATGATGCCTGGGGAGAAAAACAATTTCCCACCCAAACGACACATTCCCTCAACTCACTCTTGTACTTTCTTGCCGCTTGAAAAATTATGCTGGAACAATGAACTTGACGAAACAAGCTCTTCCTCTCTTGGAAAACATTCAACGCTCAATCTTTCATACCCTGAACTCACTCAACTCATCTCTATCACAGATACAGCAAGCACATGCTCACGTTCTCAAAACCGGCGTCTCTAATGTCACGGAGGTCGCAACAAAGCTTCTGTCTCAGTATGCAAATCACCAAAACTTCAATGACGCAAAACAAATCCTTTCTTCTACTCCTGAGCCGACAACCTTTTCTTACTCTACTCTTATCTACGCCTACTCGAAACAAAGTCTTTTTACTCAATCGCTCCATGTATTCGCTCAAATGCTCTCTCACGGTCTGGCACCTGATACTTACTTGTTGCCTAATATCCTAAAGGCTTGCACTGGATTGTCATCATTGGAAACTGGAAAACAAGTTCATGCAATGGTGTTTGTATATGGGTTTAGTTTGGATTCGTTTGTTAAGTCTTCTTTGATTCATATGTACATTAGATGTGGGAACATTGAGGACGCTCACAAAGTGTTTGATAGATTAGCCCAACCGGATGTGAAAACTTTTAGTGCTCTGCTTGCGGCTTACGCGCGACAAGGATGCGTGGATGTAGCGAAAAAACTCCTTAACGAGATGGGTCGATTAAGAGTGGAATCCAATGTGTTGTCTTGGAATGGTATGATTGCAGGGTTTAATCATAGTGGACATTATGAAGAGGCGGTTCTTTTGTTTCAAAGGATGCATTTTGAAGGATTTACGCCTGAGGAGCATAGTGTTTCTAGTGTTCTTTCGGCTGTGGGCGACTTGGAGAATCCCAAACTTGGGATTCAGATTCATGGTTTTGTGATTAAGCAGGGTGTATTGGAGAACAAGTGCGTTAGTAGTTCACTTATTGATATGTACGGAAAGTGTGGGTGTACATGCCAGATGTCCAAAGTGTTTCATGAAATGGAAAATTTTGATGTAAGTGCTTGCAATGCTCTTGTTACGGGTCTCTGTAGGAATGGTCTTGTTGACAATGCACTGGAGGTCTTTAGGCAATTTCAGAGCCAAGGAGTGGAATTAAATGTTGTGTCTTGGACATCAATGATTGCTGGTTTTTCACAAAATGGGAAAGGAATTGAGGCATTGGAACTTTTTAGAGAGATGCAGACAGCGGGGATAAAGCCAAACAATGTTACAATACCTTGCTTGCTATCAGCCTGTGGAAGTATTGCAGCATTGATGCTTGGGAAGGCGGCTCATTGCTTTTCTATCAGAAGAGGAATATCTGATGGTATTTACGTGTCTGGGGCACTAATTGATATGTATGCAAATTGTGGAAGGATTCAAATGTCACGACGTTGTTTTGATATGATGTCATCCAAAAACTTGGTTTGTTGGAATGCTATAATGGATGGATATGCTATGCATGGAAACGCTAAAAAAGCTATTGAGATTTTTCATTTGATGCAAAGGAGTGGACAAAAGCCTTGTTCTATTAGCTTCACTTGTGTATTATCTGCCTGCAGCCAGGCTGGCCTAGCTGATGAAGGCTGCAAATTTTTTGATAGCATGTGTAAAGAGCATGGTATTGAAGCAAGGATGGAGCATTATGCTTGCATGGTGACCCTTCTAGGTCGTGTTGGAAGGCTAGAAGAGGCATATAACTTGATTGAGCGAATGCCTTTCAAGCCAAACGCTTGTGTTTGGGGAGCTTTGCTTAGTTCTTGCAGAGTTCACGGTAATGTGAGTATAGGTGAGGCTGCTGCTAAACATCTCTTTGAACTTGAACCTAGAAATTCTGGGAACTATATCCGTATGTCCTATATATATGCTTCCAAAGGCATGTGGACTGAGGCTGATGCGGTGAGAGATAGGATGAAAGCTATGGGTTTGAGGACAAGCCCTGGCTGTAGCTGGATTGAGGTCAAAAACAAAGTGCACATGCTTCTCGCCGGAGATAAATCACATCCTCAAATGGCCGAAATCATGGAGAAGTTAAATACATTAAACATGGAGATGAGGAAGTCAAGTTACTTTTCACATACTGACTTTGTGCTGCAAGAGGATAAGGAGCAGGATAAGGAGCATATCTTGTGTGGGCACAGTGAGAAGTTGGCTGTAGTGCTTGGAATTCTTAATACTCCACCAGGAGCTCCTCTTCAAGTGATTAAGAACCTAAGAATCTGCGTTGATTGCCATGCTGTTATAAAATTTATATCCAGTTTTGAAAAGAGAGACATATTTGTCAGAGACACTAATAGGGTCCATCATTTTAAAGACGGAGTTTGTTCTTGTGGGAATTATTGGTGAAATTATGTTATGACTGACTCGCAAATTTAGCATCACTCATTTAGTCTTGAAAAGGAGGAAGTGAATTTGTGCGGTTGAGACCTTTGGGCAGAGCTGAATGATTAGTTATAGAGCCTGTATACTGCAACTTTGGTGGCGGATGTTTGGATTTGCAGGAAAAGAAAACAGGATGTCCAAAGCTTGCTACATCGACCCACACTTGCCGTATCTGGGTTGTCTTCTATTGCAACTTTGGTGGCCGATGTTTGGATTTTGCAGGAAAGAAAACAGGATGTTCACATACTTAACACCCTATACTTTCAAGGCTTTAGGTAGAGTAGACAAGTATGTTTGATACTTAACACCCTATACTTTCAGTATCTTGTTTGCAATTTCTGTCGTCAATCTATGCAC